CAAAATACTTTGCCTTGTGGTGTACATAATGACAAATCATATTGAACAAATGGCACATGTTGTTTATAAACTCATCATTCTTATCCTTCAGATTTAAGTTCATCATCATTGTGTCTTCTTTAAAGTTCAATAGGAAAAGATTTATTAGTTCCAATAAGTTACTTGGGGACAAGTAAAAGGCACAAAATAAATTTTATTTCATATGACCGAACAGAACTTTACCAGATTATCTAAAAAGATCTTTTCACAATACTTTTTATTCAATCAGGCTTTGATTCACTCAATATTTGAAACACTAAATTTAAAATTTGTATGCAGTAGGCAAAAAACAATGCTTGAGTCTACAAGATCATTTACAGATATTTTTTTACTCCCTGAATGAACTCTGTAAGACCATAAATCAAGTAATATTTTGTTTATTTGCTAGTACGGTAAAACTATGAACCATCTTAAATTCACATAGTAAAAACCTAAAAATTTGGAATTCATTACTTTTGGCAATTAATAATTTAAGAGAAATCTAATTTTTCTACCATTTAGATTTATGCATTACATATAAGCTTGCAATTGTTTAGTGACAGCCAGTAACAAAATTTAAGTAAGTAATAAGAATAACTAAGAAATTAATTTCATAAGTTGGTCTTGTTGTGTTGTTCCATTTTGGAATAAAGCCTCTTATACATTTTTGATCTAGACCTAATAAATTTAAATTTTTAAATTCCAATATATTTTTTTCTTTATAAAGGAGCAGTGTTGTTATTCAAAAAATTCAAAAAAGCGGAACCAGCCTCTGTGTTGAAACTGTGGTTCCCACAAAGCTACCCAGCATACATTAAAGACGAAACCTTCCCGACAGAAAACCACCACCCACCACCGCTTGAGAGAACACCATTACCGCAACGATGTGTTGTAGGGCCATCGGTCTCGATGATGTAGTGGATAGCGCACCGAGCTGATATTCTGAAGGTAGCCTGTTCAAAATCCAACGGAGGCACTAACATTTAGATTCGGTTTTTTTCATTATCAGAAAGTTTGGTTAGGCTATGACTTTATAATTTGAAAAATTATATAATTATTAAATTTGAGGCTTTTATAATTTTATTTCATGAACAGAACTATTTTTTCGATTAGTATAGGCCTACCTTCATTCGATTTTTTCATTATCATTAAGTTTGGTTACTTTAGTTAGGTTATGACAGTTTAATTTTATAATTAAAAAATTATAAAATTGTATTTGAGGCATTTAAAATTTTATATTATAAACAGAACTATTTTTTCGATTAGCCTAATAAACCTTCATTAGATTTTTTTCATTATGCACGCTATGATGCGTTCGGCACGGCGCGGTGGTGGGCAGTGGTTTTCTGTCGGGAACGTCTCGTACATTAAAGCACTGCAGACTGTATAGCTTGTTTACACTAACGAACTCCCAGTTGCAAGCTTTAATCATCAAATTTCATTCATCACAACCATATGAGCCCCATCAATGTTTTTATCTATTTAACCATCAAAATTTGCTTTAAGTTTTTCCTTTATCCTCTGGACATAAATATCCATAATATACAATCAATGGATTTTCAGTGGACACACATTTATTTAAGAAAAAATTTGCCAAATGCCTGATTTAACATAAAATTTAAAAGGAATCCACACTTCCCTTTTAACGTTTATCTTAAGCGTGTCTCCCACAAACGCAAATCTCGACCACCGACCTAAAACAGATTTGAACTGTCGATCTACGGTGTTGTTTCATGGTCAGAAAGACAAAACATAACCTACTCGGCAATTGGTCTGACTCAACACTCTACCATGATCATCTGATCAACTAAAAATTTAATCATAGTGGTTATAATTTATTTTATTCTGAAATTTTAGCACACAATTTTGTCAGGTATATCTCCCAGCCATTTTTGATGAGTTACACTTGCTAGTTGTTGAGTAGAAGTTTGATCATGCCAGTGCAATATCACAGAAGAATAAGTCTCTTGTCAGTTACTACTTCAAGTTTTACTTTTAATTGATCAAACTAGCATAGTTATTAGAAAATAAAAGAAGTTATTTACATTCAACTTAAAGTGTAAAAGTTTCCTTCTTCCTTTCAGTTAGTTTAACATTGTAAACATTTGGAGTGAAAAAGGTCAAGATGGTATCACACATTAGCACACTCTGTTGATGGAATGATTGCATTTATTCATCAATTTAAGCTATTTTCTATCTGAACTATGATAAAATGTTACAAAGAATTTTTATGTAAATCTGTTAAGTTGGCTACTCAAGTGTTATTTATCACTTAAGGCGAACCTGGTCGTTTTTTGTGTGTTTTCTACGTCAGAGGAATTTTTACGTTTTGAAAGGGAACAGTCTACGTCCTGGATTTGTTGCTATCTAACGCGGGCCTTTTTGTGAGATCATAGCCCAAAGGACAAATGGTATTTGGGTCTGGAAAAAATCTCGCTTGGAATCTAACCAGCCGCCTACAGATTTGAAGGCGAGCACTATAACCACACGGCTACCCAGACAATGATGGTGAGCTACACAGCTTTACAGCTTCATTAGTTACACATCACACTGTCTATGCTATTTGAACTTAGCCCTACCTGCAATCATTGCAACTGGAACACACGAATCACACGTACCTGATCATCAGAGCGCTAGCGAGTAAATCTAGTAACCAGCACCATAGGTAATATATTTTTAAGTAACTCATGTATTTTCTACATCCAATTAAAATTAAGTGTATTAATGTTATGGTTTTGTAAGTGTAGTGTCTGTGTATGAAAATTGAAACAAACATACACTGTAATATGTTTTAGTTTTAATTTCCCAGCCTTTTACCAATCATTTAATCTTTCCAAACTCGGCACTCTTCCAGTACACACGATGCCAAATCTGTCAAACCGTACACTACTAGATCTACATGGGCTACTGATACACACTGAAAACCATGGGCTCCAAGCCCCTTTTTCTGAGAGTAAGTAAGCTAAGTCTTCACTTGCTTTCAAAGCGGGTTGCTCAGACTTTTTGAGGCTATATAGGCAAAGAATTATAATACCCCCGCCGCGGCAAACCTGCCGTCTAAGCGAATTTCCATTTGTCCGAATTGATTTTCAATTGATCTATTTAAATAACATTAGGTTTAACGAGTACCTAGGTTTGCTGCTACAAGGAAACTAATAAAGTAGTGTGTTTTTAGTAAAATATTGATAGCTTACTATAAAATAAATAAATTTGCCAAGTTTGATCAAAATATATCCATAAAGAAGCAAAATACAACATTTTACAATATTCTCCATAAGAATAACATGGGAATTTTAAATTTACCATTTTTTTAGTTTTCTCCGTAACCAATAACCGTACAAAACACTTTGATATACTGAATTGTTTGTTTTTTTAAGCTCTTTAAGAAGGTTTAGAGAAAAATTGGGAAATTTTGTGTTTTGAGGGTAAGAAGTGAGAAAAACCAATTTTAACCCCATAAAACCCTGTTCCCATGGTCCGATCATGCTGGATCGCGAACTCATTCAAGTTTATCCCGCCTTACACCTTCAAACCAAATTTCATCAAAATCGGATAAAAATTACTCAAGTTATCGTGTTCACGGACACATATATATCTAATATATAAAATTCTCGTGTCACAGTGTTTGTCTGCAAACTCCTCCGGAACGACTTCACCGATCGTTATGAAATTTGGTGTGTAAATTCTGTAGGTATGCGAATCGGACGTAAACTATTTCCCGTTTCGAAATTCTTAAAAGGGCTCCGCCCCAGTGGCTCTGGAGTTTCCCATGTTAACCTTATGAGAAATGGAATTAATGAATCTTAACAGCTGTTTCAATTAAACAAGTTGGTTCTGTTCTATGATGTTCAATAGCATTAAAGTTACAAGGATTACCAACAGGGTGCAGACCTATTATTTCTTTTACATTTATGACAACAGCTAATTTGCAACCAAAAGGTGAGTGAGCGTAGCGAACGAACTTCAACCTGGAGGCGAGTTAGCGTAGCGAACGAGCTAACCTGAAGGCAAGTGAGCGCAGCGAACGAGCTCCAACCTAAAGGTGAGTGAGCGTAGCGAACGAGCTCCAACCCAAAGGTGAGTGAGCGTAGCAAACGAATTTCAACCAGGACGTGATTGAGCGATGCGAACGAGATCATCTTGAAAATTAAACGTAACGGTACTTTCTTTCCATCGGTCTGTCTTAGGGGAAACCTATAACTTAGGCGATACGAAGTTCGCCGGGTCAGCTAGTATATATATATATACATATATAAAAATTTGAACGAATGGTGTTTTTGGCCTCTGGGGACATTAAAATGAAAAAGTAAATCGGTCCCGGGCCTAAGTCTTACCATGAGACCTACGGTAATAGCTACTTCCCTATAGGGAAATTCGCTAAAAACAGTAGAACCATTGACAAAAAGAATTAAATATAGACTGACAGCAGTGCTGCGAGCATATGTTCTCGCGTCTAACGCCATGAGTGCTGTGTAGTTATGGCGCACACAGCTGCAGCGTCTTGCTGGTAGCATACGGCGAGGAGCCGAGGACGGAAGCGAATCGAACACCGAGCACGAGCACGCTCTAGCGGCACATCGTGGAACCTTCCTCTGACGGTCTATTCTATTTATCCATGGTAGAATTGATTACCGGACACGGTCGGTTCAAAACATTTGGGTTTGTATGATGGCGCACCACATTTTAGGAAATGTGGTAGGTCAGAGGATACAGTGGATTACCTACTCTTTAACTGAGAGCTCTCTAAAATAAGAAGGGCAACTCTTGGGAATCTGGTAAGAGGAACTCACATTTCCGATGAGGAACTGATTGGCAGACTTTAAACCTTTATCAGGTGCTTATGTTTAAGGTCTTCAAATAATCAACTTATTGGGGTACGCAATAATTCGAGAAATTCAGATGAAGTGCTTTGTTGCTTCAGCCCACCCCTCCAAGATAAGATAAAAAGATAAATCTACAAATAATTGACACTCGGGACTCACCTCTCTGTGGTGGGGTCGGCACAGTTCAGAGGATACCTCAGCTCTATGATTTCTCCGTTCTTTTCCCTCAGCTGTCCCTGGTTCTCCATGTAGAATTGCACCAGCTCTGACAACGTGGCAAACTTCTCTCCCCCGTACAGGTCGTAGAAGTCACCCGTGTTCTGGATCTTTATGTGTGTCACTTCCCCGTTCCGCCTGCAAGATGGGGATTATGATTATAAGTTTTTCACTTACACAAATAGTATATTTCAAGGGTTAAAATGGGTCATAGGACACAAGCCCTACTAGAATGAGGCAAACTTGAGATGTCGTTAGACATTTTTGAAACCTCGTTTATCAATATTTTGTTAACAATATATATATTTAAGTATTAAATATATATTATTTATAATATATATTTAAGTTAACAATACTGGCTTCTATCCGCCAGCTAGGTGGTTCCTTGGTTGTATGTATACCATGCAAGTGCCTCTTAACCAAGTAATTTTCTCGACCAGCGCTGTCTACTTTTTCCTCGCCACCATTGTCCACACCAAGCAAGTTTCCAGACAACAAACCAAATTATAGTTGGTTTCTCATCTTAATTTAATTCATTTTACATAATAGTCGATGCATTAAGGAAAAATATAATTTGTCATCAAAGTAGCTTGTATTTATTTTAAAGTGACAGTCAACTGGCTTGCCAACCAAGTACCAATGGTGGCACCAATAAACGCAGCTGTGGTCGATCCTCTATTTTCCGTGATAGTAAAAGTTAAACACTCAAAATAAAGTTTTTAAGACAACCTACTGAAAATAAATTACCTGACACTGAGTGTAAAATCGCCAGGGTTGCTGCGACTGGGTCGTGCTAGGAACGAACCATCGAACCCTCTCTCTTGCAGCAGCTTCTCGGCCTCCAGTCCCGTCACGTTGGGGTGGAACCATCTGAAACATGCAGCTGTACGTGAGGAACTGTACTACAGGTACATTGGTGGTGCAGGGAGAAGATTATATGACAACATCAGCTAAAACATGCAGTCGTACATGGGGAATTTTACTAGGTGCGTTGGTGGTGCAGGGGAAAATATATGAGAAGAAACTATTTTGTATGCTTTTGACATAATTTGCCTGCAGTCTGGGCTCTATGATGTTAATGTGTGGAACAAAACATGCAAGGCAAGTGATGAGTTGGTGCAGCGATGGAATAAATAGTACTTATGAATCATTAGTGGTGGCACTGAGATGCAAAAACTTTGTTGTGTTCATTTAACTTTTCACATTACATCACACTTACTGAGACAAGCTGAGGAGATAGTATACTCCATTCACTATTAGTTTTAAGGATTAATAACTGAAATCCTGTGTCTGCCAGAACTGTTTCTATCAATAAACTTAACACTGGCGGCATAGCAAGGAAAGTACATGGCAAGATAACTCGTAGAACCTAACTTTAATATTAGTCATGTTGAATACAATTGTTTGCTGTTTATGGAGTCAAGTAATACAAAATTGTTGTTTTGCAGATTTTAGAATATAAATGGATTCAAAAATTCTATATTAATCAAGTCCAACCCCTTTCCCAGCCTTTTAATTCCTTATTCAAACTGATGCTCTTTTGACAGTCCAAAGAATAATCATTAAGCGTGAGAAGAAAATTTGAATACATATTACTCACTGAATAATTTGCTCAATTGACATTCAACAAAAAGTCCACAACACTCATTTATTCATTCTATGGACAATACACCATTCAATTCTCGCAAAAATAAAACAATTTGCATTTGCAATAAGACCACTCGTTCCAGATGGAATGCAAATAAAATACAATGGTTAATTACCCACACAATCTCAGAACTGGTGCTGGAAGACAGATCAACCACGTGACTTTATTGTGACGGTCAACGTCAACTTTATGGCGACTCCATTTAACTCATGGGACAATTGAATCGATTGGCAATCACAAGGTCGAACGTTTGTCTTGACGGTTAGAATATTCCCGTGATCAAGCCTCGTGACCCGATGACATATTCCACAAGGTCGAGATGTGTTTTTATGTGACTTCATCGGATTGTTACGAGTGCTTGTCCCACCTTGCGCAATCGCTGACTTGAGATGGAGCAGTTGTGTAATCGCTTGGGATGCGGGTGTCCAACCTTCCTTAACCTTGGCCTTGGATAGTTTCCAACTGACAGATTGTCATTGGTAAACATATACCTGAGCAATTGAATAATCAATTTGAGTTGGAAACCAGTTGGTAGTGCAGTTCTTGGAAATCTTCTTGAAAAACTATACTAATACTGGAGATGACAAGGTAACCACTTTCAATAACTTGTATGACCAAGTCTAAAATAAAATCAAAAGAAAATCTGCCTATCGCAAATCAAACCCCCATCAATCTTTGCTTATGGTAAGACAATTGGGGCACTAGGAGGAATCATTAAAGGCCAATCATTGACAATGATGTTGATTATCAGTCATTACCTGTTTCAACCTCTTAACCTTCCAACCACTTGACATGATTGAACAGTCTCCACTGCTTTTGTAGAATATTTATTCTACATTCTAGCGACTTATAATGGAAAATGCTACTTATGTATCAGAAAACAGTGACATGATAAACTTGTGCTTTAGTTCTACATACAGATTTACATATTATGCTATAGCTATTCAACTTTGCAAGACAGAAGTGATACACCAATCTTCTTCCGACATATTTTTTTTACGTTTCAACAAATAAACAAAAGTTACCCAGATTTTCAGGAAGATCGTGAAACATTAGAATAATACAAATAGAACACAATCCTTAAACTTTTTAAAACTTAAAACCAACAAAATAAATGTCCAAAATAAGCTAACAAAAATCCTAGTGGGTGTTTCTAATAAATGAAATCTAATTAAACAAATGATATGTAGTGAAACTAGTGATACAGTGAAGTATCAAAATTAGTCAAATAAACTATTAATATGTGTTGGTGAAAATCAATTTTCACAAGACTAACAGTGGTGGAGGGGGGAATAGGAGGCAGAACAGAGTCAGTCATTTGGAGAGATACTGGTTGTGTTTGGTTCTGAGATCAAGTTTCTTCAGATCAAATGTCAACGGGTTTGTACCTACTGAAGACTACTGATCAGGAGCAAGACTACTAGTAATTGATTTGTCTGCAGTACTGTAGCTTATAACATTTTAATGTCTGGGAAAATACTAATAAAAATAAATATAGATATTATTGTGCCTTCTTTTGTTCCCAATCTGTAAATATCTCATAGGAAACTAAATGGTGAGTCTTTGCATGAGTTTATTGAGCAGCCTCCATATTAAATTAAGACTTTTGGCATTTGAACACTTTTATAAATAAACTATCAACAGTGTAGGGAAACAGTTTTCATCATCAACAGTGTATAGGCTAGTACATAATAGTTGTCAAGACATAAAAAACAATTTCAACAACATATCAGCTCCTTCAACGTCCAACAACCACTAGCAGAGACTCCAAGGAATGTCCTACCTAGCAAATCTGTTCCACATTTCATCAGCTGATTTAATGTAACGTGACAGTGGCTCACGTGAATACATCTTACCCAACACACATCCTGGAGTAAGACAATAGCATCACATACTCGCCTTGCTCACGTGTACCAGACAGCCGAGAGCAATGTACACAATTATTTAATTGACTACATTACAGACATCAGCTGATGTATCAGCATTGCCAATCAGCTGATGTAAGATAAGTGTTGCGAGTGTTTAAAATTAGAGTTCTAACGTCACCTGCCTCTTCAGGGACGTTTTTTGAGATTCAGAGACATTTGAGATTTGTACGCAAATGGGTACAGATATTAAAATCAAATTTCTGGTTTCGTTTTAAAAGATAATGTAGTAAACTAAATATTATTTGAAAGGTGAAAGCATAAAATATCACAAAGAAAAATTATTAAGTGTATACGTACATTATAAATGGGTTTCACAACTCATCAAAGTTCACAAATTCACTGATTCACACATAACCTCACACAGTGGCCACTTCAACTGAATATTTGTTGCCTTAGAAACATGTGGGAAGGAAAGGAACCAGTGCTACAAACTTTTGAGAAGTTAATGTCACCAATAATAACCACTGTACAAATGTGGTTGTTTGACAATAATACAAAAAAATTGAAAAAAAGTTAATGTACCCATATGAGCCTTACTCCCTGAAGAGGTTAAAGAGATGTCTTTTTAACAGTGTATGTTGAACATGTGGTAAGTTTATTTTATGTTAAGCTCACTTACAACAAGAGCCAACCAGCCACACCATATCATAAGTCAACCTGATGAATAGATGTGAATATAAGTAGGTTTCAAATCCCTAATCCGCACTTCCTCAGAAAAAAAAGGATTGGGTAGACAGAAACATCGGGTATTTGAAGTAAAAGTACCGAAATCTGCTGTAATGAAATGGAGGAAAAGTACTTAGATTTGCTGCCTCAAGTGCAAAAAGTTATTTTAAATCTTTTACTTACTGGAACTATGTAGAATTAAATTAAATAGAACAATTAATGTGGTTGTGCTCTGCTGTATATTCCAATAAAACAGTTCAATCCATCAATTTATAAACTTATAATATAAAAAAAGTTTCAATTTATTTGAACTGTACAGAAATGAGGGTACCGTACAACATTTTGTGTAATACTGCTAAACTATCAGAACAGTAATTTTTGTTAAGAGCACAAACAATTTTTTTTACAAATTAAAATAAGTATATACTTTTTAATACTCTTTATTTTCTGCTTCTTTAAGAATATACAAGCTAAATATTTAAATGATTTCTGTATCATAATTGACAAAAAAAAAAAACATTAATAAAATACAAACCCATGTGAATGTTATATGATCTTACTCTATCTGGTTAAAAATGTATTAAATTATGAGAAGCAAAGCTTAGTTAGTTTTTTTTTGCAATTTTAATTATGTACACAGCTTGTGTGTCTTGCAAGCTTTTACATACAACCATAACACTGATGAATAAAAGCATTAAACATTGATGAACGTTATCATACTGTAGAAATTGTTATGTCATGTTTAACATAAATAGCTTACACACACGCAATCTTGACTTTGGATTCTGCACTCGTTTCTTTAGGAAGTTGACATGTAAACATTAACATGTTTTATGTCTGGCTACGTTTGGGCTGATGTCGACCAAAGTGTTTTTCTATAACTTTACAATAACAAGATTTTGTCTACCACCATAATTAACTTATCGTAACAAAGAGACTTTTTAGTTGTATATAAAATGTAATTTAGGTTATGTTTGCTTTCATACATGCATTACTGGATGTTAGTGTTTTATAGAATCGTAACAATGAAATCAGCTGATTTTAAGCGAGCGGGAACGAGTATAGCGAAAATACGCTACTTTGCGCACTGTTTACAGGTGTAGCAATGCGATCATTTCCACGCAGTGGTAGGAAAAATGTAAATTAGATTAATGAGATAAAAAGCAGAACATTTATAGATTTTTGTCTTCGTATCCAAACTGTGGCAGTATTATTTGTTGCGCGCCTTCAAAAACTGCAACTTTCCAAGCGGCATACATACTGTCACTGCTGCTTGCATAGTGGCTTAGCCTGATTTGAAGGAGTCATATAGTATCAAATTCAAAACTCTACGCCACTTTTTGTTTAAGGAAAATTAGTACCTAGTTAGGGTTTAAAAAAAAAATTGTACTTTTGATATTAATAATATATCATCATAGGGTATTACTGATATATAAGGTAAAAAGATTTCAAGTAGTCGAAATCCGAAATTGGTATTACAGCAAAAACTAATTGTTATTGTTCATTTATAAAATTAGCTGTTATATCGTTGAATTGTTGTGTAATAGTTACTACAGCACAAGTATGTTTTAAGCAATCATTTTTATCTAACAATATTGAATAGCCTACGTGCTAAAAATGTAGACAACAAATTACAGAAAAGATATTTTTTATATGGTGGGGTTTTGTTGAATATTCGGCCTTTTGCCGCTTGACGAAAACTGTCAATTAAATATACTAAATAATGCAGAAGAGTAATTGGGTTGACGGGAAATTCACAGACACGGTAACTAAACGTAGTAGTCGGACGATCAGAATCTAAGAAAATAAGAGAGTGTTATAATATATCAGTTCAAATCTTAATGAGTATCAGGGGAGTGAGCTATTGCTCGGTATAGTTTATTTCGATTGTATTGTAAGAGAAAACTTCAGAATGAGCAAAATATCTTAAATACTCTCATAATATGATGGATTAGGTGAAGACAGGTATGTCCGGTTCAAACGTATGTTGTTTACTATAAAGATTATTGTGATAAAATTAGCCTAAATTCTAATTGAATTGAATGCAGCTGTCCAAATTATGTAAACTATAAAAAAATAGTGCATACAAAATGTAAAATAAGAGTTAAACGTTGAGTTGACTCCAGTGCACTCAAACGTCACCAACACGAAACAATCATCAACACTTGCTCTACTTTCCCCTGTGTATCGAGTAATCTTCAGTGCAATCTTTGCTCAATAATTACAACTGATTTTTCCCCTTTGTACTGTATTTTGTAATTTGCTATTATACTGTGAAAGGCTTGTTATAAACAAATGTTACAAGTACAAGTCTTTTGTTTACTTTTTCCTTGTTCAACCATCATGGTTACTTGGCACGCTTGGAAACACATAAGGTCAGTGTTTAATTTTAAAATTGTGTAGCAAAATACGAATTTTCCTGAAGTGGCTGTCGCCAATCATGTTTTTAGTGTTATAGGCTCCTAATTCCAAAATTTAGTTATAATCCTTACGCTGGATTTCTTGATTTATATTACAGACATAGCTCGTATTAGGGTATAGGATAGGACAGAATAGAGTCGATGGAAATGCGCCATGGAAAATAACTACGACTGAAAACACATTTACAATCGAAAGTGTCGAGTAAATCAAATCTTTAAATACACATGAAGTTAGGTTGGCTATAAACTCGTCACCGTGACAGCACAAGTATGCGGATTGCATGCCAATAGCTTGTATAGTAAGAGAAAACTCACTTCATTTTGTTCAACTATCCTCCTCAAGTTAGTTGAATTGCTAGGTCAATCATACGTATTATAATAATTTGTTGGGAGAAAAATGAATTAAAACAGTTCTAATGATGCTATCAAACTTGCCCCCCCCCCCCCGTACACTTGCAGCATTTGGTTCTCGAAAGTTTATGGGGAAGGTATTTCCAAAATGTTATTATTTAAAGATCACTGAAAACTATGAGGGAAAGATATTGTCGGTGTGATTAAAAGTAATTGACACTGACAGAAGCGGTGTTTTCTGGGAGTTAATGTTAGTGATTACTAGTACAATAATAGTAGTATGAAATTGGGAGTTGTAATGCATTGTTAGTTACAGAGATTTTCAAAGTGTGCCTACCATTAGACCGAGCTATTTCATTGACATTTTAGATTAGACAAATTAATATTGGAAACCATTATGCCGTATTGTCGTTTTCCAGCCAGAATGTGTCCTTGTGAACCATTTGACTGACAAGATACTAGATTGTTAAGGAATTATGATTACATTCAAAATTAAATGAATGCGAGAAACCACTTAGCAGTATTCACGTTCTTCCGGCCGAAGTTTTTTCTGTCGATCATTTGGCCAATAGAATACTAGTTCATCAAGCGATTTGACTGAGATTTTAAATTAACTAAATAAAAGCACCATGTCACATTGAGGTTTTTCCAGTAACAAGTTTGTCAGTAACTACCATTTGACCGACATGTTACTCGCTCGTCAAACAATTTGACCGACATTTTAAATTATATAAATACAGTAAAATTAAATACGAGAAACACTGTCATATTGATGTTTTTCCTATGACAAGTTTGTCCGTGCATATCATTTGACCAACATGCTACTAAGTCGTCAAGCAACTTGAATACATTTTACATTGGATAAATATAAAACCACGTTGACATTATTTCGTCCAGGCGTTTATCCTTCCTGATCAGGAGAATGGTGGTGGGGAAGAGGGTGGTGTATTTTATTGTTTCTTATGCTCATTAATTTAGGTGATTTAAAATAACACCTAAATGGCTTTATAACTAAGTATCTTAAATCAACGGAGGTCCCTTAATTATAGTACATACACTGACAACAGGAGGGAAGGAATTTTATTAGTGTGCGTTATGGTTAGCGGCCGTAATAGTACACCATATTGGCTAGTTTTTGTATTGTCAGTAGATGAATAGTAGGAGAATGTGTGGTCAATCCGGGTCTAAGTTGGTCCATTTATATACCCTTGTAGCCGCTGGATGTAAGCGATAGTCTTCTCAAAGACATAATAATATCAGTCTAGCGTGGATAGTTCTGTAGAATGTAGACGATTGTAAATAGAGACAACTCGGATTTTTCAAATGTATTCTGGATAAAAAATGTGCTTGCTTGTAGGTAGATTAAACAAAATACTTTTGACCCTTTGGTCAGGTCATATTTATTACACAAACATTAACTTTTGTGTCAAAGAAATGTGAGAACGTTTCCCTCACAGCAGCTGTAGATCTTAAAGGCGTACGAGTATGTTATCACATTCACAAGATTTAAAGTTCACATAAGCAAAAGCGATAAAGCGGTGCGAGTTAATTATGCCAATACCTAGTTGTACGCAGTCGTTGGTTGGTGATAGGCCGGCGTGTGATCGAGTAAGTTAGGATAGCAGGGGCGTGGTCAATGATAGAGCGAACTATTGAGCGGCAGTACCTCCACAGACGTGACTGACGCTTTGTGGTGGGAGGAGGGTCAGTGGTGGGGGAAGGGGCGTGGTCTGCTTCCCCTGACCCACACAGCGCGCTAGTCAGCCGCGCCAACATAGTACTATCTCACCCCTCCACCTTCGCTGCCACGCCTACTACTAGGCCTGCAACTGTAACCACAAGCTGTCAGGTGTTACTACTAGCTTCCTTAGTTATTTGACTGTTTAGCACCATGATGAAATGTCACAAATTCAACTAGAAGGTAGATTTCCACGGTATAAGTAGACTGATGAGTTTTAGTCTTCGAAAGATCACTGCGCCATTGAACTAGCGTAAATACTAGGAGGGATGCGTTGCAGCAATCCACATTCGGAACAAGCTACAAGTCATGTATAGTTCAGTTGAATTTTAAAGCTACAATTAAATGTCATATAAAAATGCATTTTGGGATGATCCCCTCTAAAATGAACGTCACCAGATCATCTTCTGAAGACAAAAAATCACTTGTCTCTTATATTCTACGTATTTGATGCGCACATTTCAAATAACCACATAATTCAGTAAAATTCAGAGTTAAAGTAAAAATTTCAAAGCCCGAATTAGTTTGTACGGTGACATGTACGCCTAACCTTTAACAACAATTAATAGAACAATTTTGGGCATTTGCTCAAAACAAACGAATACTCTCGATAATTTTTTACAAGAAACTCATAAAACGAGGATGTCTGAACACGCAGTATCAAATTGTGATAAATTTTACTGTCATGTCATACGTCAAGAATATAGGATAGTGTATGCTGATACAATTGGTTACATTTAAAACCAGAGACGTTTCATGAATCACTGTCCCAAATCTGATATTGTATATCGCTTTACTGTTCTTGCATTTTATATTTACATTTAAAATAATTAAGTATGTACCTACGTAAAACATACAATATTGGAAAATTGTGACGAGTGGTTAGTACATGGGACAATCATCATAAAAAATAATCTATGGCACTTTGCTAGTTGATAATGCAGTGTACTGGTGGTTCGTAGCCCACCTTAATCTATATAAAAATCAAATAAATTAACATAAGTATATATATACAGGGTGACAAAAAAGTCTGGAAACGGCTTAATATCTTTTTAACTAAATCCGTTAGAAAAGTCAAACTTTTAACATCAACTTACATGTATAAAAACTACTTTTTCTAAGCATTTTCATGTTTTTACCTCCACCAGGGGATGGCCCGTAAGGAGTAGGTACAAAATCTTTAATGTAAGCATAGGTTGATATGCACACCATTTTAAAGGTCTGATCAAGTGGAGTTCATTGCCGGAAACCGCATCTCAAAAGGTTCATTCGTTACAAAATGGCGGCATTTCAAAGTTCTTGTGGAATCTACCTTTACAGGCCTTAATATTGGTAAATACTCGTATTAAACATTATCTTGAGAGCTGAAATTGTATTTTAAAGTCAACTAGCCCATAGACTAAGTTTATTCAATCTTCAAAACAAATTTAAACGGGTTTCAGATTTCCCGGCTAATTTTGACTATGAGTATTTACCATTACTAAGGCCTGTGCAGGTATATTCCACAAGAACTTTGAAATGCCGCCATTTTGTAACGAATGAACCTTTTGAGATGCGGTTTCCGGCAATGAACTCCACTTGACCAGCCCTTTAAAATGATGTGCATATCAACCTATGCTTACATTAAAGATTATGTACCTACTCCTCGTGGGCCGTCCCCTGGTAAAGGTAAAAAAATGGTAATACTTGCAAAAAGTAGTTTTCATACATATAAGTTGATGTGAAAGGTTTGAATTTTCTAACGAATTTAGTTAAAAAGATATCAAGCCGTTTCCAAACTTTTTTGTCACCCTGTATATATAAACACCGAATAAAATTATATGGATCATAGGGGTGAAGGATGTATACCTTTGTTTTAGGCTAGGTCCACTAAAATGCATGCGTAATTATTTATAACAAATTGGCCCAATTTATTTTACAGATTGATGCAGTCCGACCAAACCGTCAGTTGCAGTTGTCCTTCATTAACCAATAGTTGGTTGCGTAATCGGAAATGCAACGTTGGACTGTGACAAAACAGATGCACTACTGAACTGATGAAGCAGTTAGTTGGGGTTTTAAGGTTATAAAATTTAATTATGATCCATTGATTGAATTGTTTGAGAAAATTTTACATTTATTTTATTTAATTAATTAAATAATTTAATTAATTAATTTAATTAATTAATTTAATTAATTTTATTAATTTTTTATTTATTTTATTTTGAGAAGTTCTTAAACATTTATTCTTGAAATCCTTATCCACCCAGGGATCCGCCTTTAGGTGTTGAACAAATGTAATTTTCCCTGTCGAGAAGAGTTTTAAAACACACTAAAAATGTATCATAATAAAAATACAAAAACATTGGATTGAAAATAATTTTACATCAGTTCCAAGAAAACAGTGAAATATAAAATGTATAAACGGTATAAGCAAACTAACACACACTTTCTCAAATTAGCATGACATTGAATTGAATATCCTACTACTGTACTTTTATATGGAAAGAAGAATTTTAATGGGTGATTCGCAGGAATAACTAAGGATCTTTTTATGGGGAAATTAAAATTGCAACTACTTTTGATCCATACAATTTACAACGTTGTGCCATTTTATCGATTAAAACTATATTTTATGTTATTTTGTAGTTTAATAGTTTTTTTTATATTTTATAGTTTTAGATATTTTATTATTTTAGATTACTAAAGTAGTACGCCTACTATATTTTAATAAAATTAGTTTTTTGTTGTTTAATGCTCATTTGTGGGAATACTGTATCAGTAAAATTAAAAATTAAAAAAACTCCTGGACATACCATGGACCCCTTTTCCCCTTTTTTATTCAGGGGAACACAAAACGTATGTTTTCACTAAAAACTACATAAAAATGTTGTATGACAAAATTAATACTTTTCCACGAAATATGGGAATAAAGTAAAAATAAAATACAAGAGCCATTTCGGTCAACAACATACTACATTGAAAAGTGTATAAATATGTCTTAGGCTCAATATTAGAAATTATTTATATTTTAATATTATTTTGTGTATCTGTGATTGTTGGCAAAAGATTAATAATAATTTGCTAATAAATTACTTTGGTTACAAATTTAGATTACATAAAGTTTAGGTACAAGCAAAACAAAAAAATTTGATATTTAAGATCCTATTCAATTCTTTAAATTGACAAAAAATCCATTTAACACTAAAATTATGAAGCGGAATATTGAGAATGTTCCATTTATTTAACTAAGCATTTGATATAGATTACAAAAGTTGTATTTTTTTAATAAAAAAGAAACACATTTCGAGCATAATATGTTACAATCACGAACCTTAAATAAATAACTCAAAGCTCCGTTTAAAAAAATATTCATAGAACAAGTATTACAAATTTTAAAAATCACTATAGATTATTCAGATAATGTGTTTTTTTTTATCCAACCAAACATAATGTACTTTACGGTTCTACCCAAAGACTCTTGTTTGCCCGTCGTACAAAACCAACACTAAACACTGACAACTTTAAAAGTGATAAAATAACTGAATGTCAACGAATTTCTTATGAGCAAATGTTCCCATGAGCAAACCAAGATTGCTAATCTATTATCATGAGCTAGTGAATCATCAAGTTTGCTAGATAGTGTGACTATTGGAGATAATGATATCTATCTTCCTTGCTTTATGATTCTATAAAAGAACATATAAAGTCAACTAAACTGTATTTAACCATTAATTACAATTGAAATTATTGAAGTAATATTACATAGCATTATAGGAGTCTAATGCCGTTTTCAGGGCGTATAACAGTACTTGAGTTTAAAAAAAATCAAAAATAACGAAAATAAAAATAATAACCTTGAAAAAAAACTCAAAATATCGCAAAAAATTAAAAAACCAAAGTTTTATTTGAATATAAAAAATATGTAGTCAATAAAAAACACGTAGGATAATTTTGAACTAGATAAGTGATCATCTACTAAGACAATAATAATAATAATAATAAATGAAAAAATAGACAAAATTACCTCCCATTCTACCTTAAATAAAAAAACCAAAATCCCCCCAAGAAATAACCAAATAAAAGAAATAACAAAAAATAACCAAGAAAAAGAATTAAAAAAATAACCTGTTAGAAGCACTGCGTTTTAATACTTATCTGATTAAAGGTGGGGCTTATGGCTGATGGAAGTAAATATTCCAAGTTTTCCTTGGAAACAAAAATATCAACAACCACGATGTGTTTTACCATAGATAAATAGAATGAATATAGACCGACAGTAGTGCTGCGGTTAGCATATGTTCCTGCGTCCACCGCTAGGAGTGCCGTGTAGTTACGGCGCACGACGCTGCAGCGTCTGCTGCTGGTAGCATTAGGCTGGTTTTATGCACCGCGACAGTCGCGAGTCGCGAGTCGCGCCACGTCTTGCGGCTGACAAAAATGTCACGCGACAGCGACACTTTTTTGTCGCGTAAACTCACATCCGGTGGTGGGGGAATTAAAGAAATCAGTGTGTTCTCAATCCAATGTTGTGTGTTGTGTTTTGATGTAGAAGTGATTATTAAGTTGTTTAAATATAGACCCTGTAGTGTTGTACACGTTAATGACAAAACCCCAGTTATTTAAACAACACATACAATTTACAGTTGGAATTGGGTCAACCCTCTTAAAAATGTCATTACACAATATAATGATGTAATTTATATTACAAATAAAGAGTTAAGAACTCATTTATATACTAATTATTAACATTAATCAATATAAGTATATGGAGAATATACCACGTGGAGTATGAAAAATACTACTGTCGCGCCGCGACTGTCGCGGTGCATAAACGTGCCCATTTGATCCAATAGAACTTGAACCGCGCGCGACACATTTTTTGAAGCTGCGATTCTAAATCCTGTCGCGGGTATTTAGAGTCGCTCCGCGGCAGTTTGTCGCTGTCGCGGTGCATAAATGCTCCCATTTAACTCAATAGAACTTGAGTCGCGCCGCGACACGCGACACGCGACTGTCGCGGTGCATAAAACCGGCCTTACGGCTCTTCGCCTGCAGCGGTGTGCGCCGTAACTACACGGCACTACTAGCGGCACATCGTGGAACCTTCCT